ACTTCTCTTTTTTCCATTTATTCAAGGTGCACTTTGTCCAGCATGATCCTTCTAATCAACGCATCTTGAATACCCCCCAAAGTCCCAACAAAGATCACCATTGCACAAAGTAGGTAGGTGTACATATGCATGTACTTTTAGTTCCAGTATCTTCACAACTCCACCCAACTTTTCTCAGCCTGGAAAGTCTTCAAGCACTATCCCAGGACTCTCAATCCTTCAACCAGCCTTCAAAACAATACCCGAAGAAACTCCGTACCCCTCACTCACCGCCCCTCTCCCGCCCCATTAGACACTCCGTAGCTCCAAACCTACGATATCTCATCAATGCACTTCGCACGATCCAGTCCCAGTCCACTTTACCAACCTCCACTCAACTCCACCGCCTGCACGAAACAATAAATTCCCGCCCGTCACACGGTCGATCCGATCGATCAAGAAACCTACTCAGCTTTTTTCAGGGTTATTCGAGGTTCTGTGCTTCTTGCGCGCTTCACCCTCTCGAAGCTTTAGATAGCTTCGTGGAAGGATAATTAGAACATGGACTATCCTTCGAGCAATCCCTTTCACTCCAACAATAAATCTCCAATAGCCATCAATAATTCACTCTGCATTTCCCAACTACTGCAAGTAGTAACTGTGTCCACAACCTAGATCCTTTGAGTTCTCGCCCCTCGTATCGTACCCATCGCCTTATTGTTTTGTTTCGATAGCTCCAAGAATGGAGAAATCAAATGCCATATTCCTGAAAGGTCGAGTCCAGACTTGGAAACCCAACCTCGAGTCAAGAGGTCCGAGTGTAAAGTATTTATCCATCATGCCTAACTTCAAATCCCCCATACCGCTCTGAAACTAGACGTGAAAAACATGGAATTGTTGTTGCAAGTTCCAAGGAATCCCAAGTTTCTGAACCGGCTTTCTCTTGTTTCAACATGTAACCATTCAAATTCCAAATATTTGCCCAAAAGCGCTACAACCGCACTCGCAATTAAAGGGCACTGATGCTCCTTCCATGTGCCAATGTAGACTATAATGTGTAATTACTACAAGATTAAACAACAGATATTGCTGGCCCAAGGTTGGCTGCCTAAACTTCAGGATAATCATTTTACCCAAGACATATCTTTCAAGTGACACTTCGCTGCCGTTGCTGTGACTGATTTCTTAGCGCATCAATTTCTTCTTGTAATGCACTGAGATCTGCTAGGATATTGGTATGACCACTAGTGGAATTGACGGTATTATTTTCTTCGTATCGTGAAGTTTGCGACATGGAAGAAGAGTTAGAGCTTCGCCGATATTCGCCACTGACACGAGTTGAAGAAGAAGCTGTGATTTGAGATACATCAAGACTGTTCCGTGCTTGACGAGGACGTGGCGGTGGTGGTGGTCCTTGTAAAGAGGTGCGTTTGGAAATATGTGGACTTGGAGATTCAATGCTGTGTACAGACGGTGCTCTACCGTGTTTTGAGGAGCCTCGTGTTGGTGGCGGTACAGGCAAGGACGTCGCAGATGGCGAGGAAGATGCGTGCTGCGATTGGGATCGAGATATACCATGTTTTCGTGTGGGAGGTGGAGGTGGAACTTTCCCACTGTTAGATCGAGGTCGTCCAGACTCAATTGAGTATACAGATGTATTGTCTTCTTCCAATCTTGGCGAAAGTCTTGCGGAACTACTTCGACTCAGTTTTGAATCGCTAAGGAGCTGGCTGTGTCTTCGGGTAACGGGTGGCGGAGGAGCTGCCTTTCTTCTTATTGATGAAGACGGAGATGGTGGTTCTGGTGTTTTCCCCGCAGACTCTCTATCAAATGGAGATTCTCGTTCGGATTCACCGCTTTCACGAGGTGGTGCTGGAGGTAAGGGTTTGTTGAGATCTGTCAAGGAGCGATTCGGCGTTGAAGTCATAATAGGAAAGTATTGAGGGGTTGCAGATATTGACTGTGGTGGAGATAAGGGAGAAACGGCTGTAGTCTCATCCTTCAATTCCATCTTAATCAATCTACCATGATGTCTCGAACTCGGTGGAGGTGGTCTCTTCTTCACATGTAATGATGAAGAGTCAGACACTGCCATTCGTACTTCATCCGGCTCTGATATTTCATGTGATGATCTAGGTGATTCTGGATGCGGATCTTGTATTGGTTCGAATATCGATTGCCGTGATAGAGAAGATGTTTCTGTACTACTACTTCCCTCGTCGCGTAATGCATGAACAGGAGGGGGTTGCAGCGGGGTAGAAGATCCCAACCCCGCATTTCCGGTCATCAATAGCCTTTTGAATGCATCTACATCCATAGAAGCTCTTCCGGGATTTGTGAGTTTTGTAGGTGCTATGCTTGATGCATCTCGGCCTGAATTCTCCAATGTCTCCAAGGTCTTTGAAAAGGGATTCAGGATGCGAGTCTTCGAAGTTTTATTCTCTTCCTCGTCCTCTGAAACATCAGATGTAATAGTGTCAAAAGGGTCTTGCTCGTCCTCCTGAGATATTTGTAGTGGGTTCTCGAAAGGTACCGAGTCGTCCCCTATAGTAGATGTAGAGTCGGGGATCGAGGGAGATGGAGGTGGTGGAGACTGGACCCGAACTCTTTTGGGTATTTTCTTTGGCGCATCTTGTCGTTCTGGATATGAATATTCGGGAATCGAATTCGCAGATGGATCCAATTGCGTGAAATGATTGACGGCAGGTATTGAAGAGGATGATGTAGTCGCAGGTGCGAAGGGTCCTTTTCTTCTGAAAGGATTAGAAGATGAGAACTCGGCGGACATTTTGTTGTGATCTACTATGAGACATTCAGTATCACACTGAAGTGGAGCTTGCAGGTCATACAAGTCGTCTTTCCATTCTATTTTGAGGTTCTCGTGAAGTTTGTATTACTCCTACGACCGGATTTCTCGGTCGTGTGTTGTTTGATTCTAGATGATGCTTAAGGCTCTTATCGTTTTATTGGTCCGTGCTAACCCTGTCGGATTGAAAGCAGCAGTTCAAGTTCAAAGGACGAAGCTGCGTTGGATTAATGATTATATTGAGACAATGTTAAGAAGACATACCATCAATTGCATCAATGAAATAGTTGAATGTCGTCAGCTATGTGATGATTGTGGAGATGGCTCAAGTTCAGACGAACTACTAATTGCGGAGGGCGGAATTGTCCATAGTCCGAGGGTTCGGGTTCATGACTGTAACCTGCCAAGCTTCCTTTGTTCTTCTTTTGACTATCAGAACGCACAAAGGAACAGCTACTGAAAACAATCCATTGTATTGCATGGTTGAAGCAGAGGATGCAACAAGGAAGGCAGGCTTTCATTGACGTGTGAGGCGAGAAACAGCCCCTGAGTATTTCAATCTGCTGGGAAGAAGTCTTCGCTAACCTTACGAGAGAGGAAGACATAATTTCATCTTGATATCACAGACCTTTCATTTGCCTATCCGACGGATCGTAACAATGTGCAGACCTAAATTCTTTGTGTATAATCAGTTAAAGCGTATTCTGTCTTTGTATTCTGTTTGCGGACCAATTCCTAAGCCGTCTCACATCAATTTTGAAGTTGATGATACCTAAAGAGGTAATCTTATGAGTATTGTGAATACGTGACTACTTAACAAGCTAGTCACCATAATTGGTCATGCGATCTATGAATTGCAGAGACAATGGTATTAGTATATCAAGTCGGACTTGCCAGGCTAATCCATTCAGAATACGAGGAGTCTCGAGTGCGTGGATGAAAAGTGTTTCTGTCAGTATTATTAATAGCTGAAACTCGCAACTAAAGGGAGTTTGACCTACAGATAGTCTCGAATAAGTTATGCAACTGCAACGTTTTCTCCAACTAAGCGACTTTCACTATCCGCTGCCAGCTAATTCTTATGAAAGTATACCCACACAATTGCGAGGGGGGGGAGGGCGTCACTTGAGTAGTCACTTGAGTGAGGTTCCGGTGAAGGAACGTCTTTTGCATTATTAAGAACAAAATAGAAATGGGCTAGGAAACATTAAGAGAGAATTCGTCAAGGGCTCAAAGATAGATTCATATGCCTAGAGAATGTAGTGCCTTAATGGGTGGACTGTCGATGAGACAGGAACTACACCAAGCAATTTACCTTTCTAATGAGAGGGGCGTGTGGATTCGATACTTAAAGTAGAAGGCTATGCTAGTCTTGCAGTTTCTTATAAAGTTGCGCTTGATCAGATAAAATATAAGGGCCGCCTGTGATTGTTGCTTGAAAGCTCTTCTAGCAATCTTGCTGATTTTGGGCTTGAAAAACATTGTTTCACAAAAACAATAGGATTTAGAAATGGTTTTTGACTTTGACAAATGGGGATCATTACTAATGATTTCAACACTTCCACATCTCGAAGTCTCATTTAAGCGTACTATAAACTTTGTTTATACACTAGCTATGATCGCTCAAAAGAAAATGCACAAATCGAAAAAAAAGACAGCCCATAACAGCGTTGGAGAGCATATACCCAACTCCCCGACCCATTTTCTGACTATCCATTATGGAACCAATAGCACCGCTACCTAAATCAAAACTGCTATCGCAAGTCAAAGCCCTCCCTGTGTACCCAACAAACCATGTCCCAAAATATTCTACAAAATTATATCACCCACTCCAGAAGTACAATGGCCTCAAGTGACACCAGCAGAGGGGTGGAGGGAGCTCAGTACTTAGAGGACCTAGCCAACTTCCCAACCAAGACTTACAATTCAACTCGAGATGGAAAAGCGTTCAATGTGGCGAACCGCCATGTTGGATATATTCCCAAAACTCGCAAACAACCGATATCACAGCCAACATCAGATCTTTCCAGACTGGCACCGAATCCGATATTGACGCTCAAAACTCAAGATGCCAGCTCAAAACCCAATCCATAACCAGAAACAAGATTATGGCAATCACAACTCCCTTTTAACAAACACCACCTCAGAAGGAAGCACAATAGATATATATGCTCAACTGGAAGTGGAACGCCCTCCCTCCTCCCATAAGAAAATTTCATTCTTCGGCGAAATAATCATCCAAAGTTGGAAGGCGAGGTCCGGTTTGCCCGAGTGTCCTTGTTACTACTTGCGGACCTCTTACTGGAGCTCTCGATTGCAATTGAAGAGCAGCTTCCCGATTGGCCACACTCGAATTGTGTGGGAATGGAGCGAGAAACATCTGGTTCGGACCTCCTGCAATTGAATATTGTTGGTCTCGATGTTGATGATCTTCGTCTTGGTCTTCATCGTCTTCTTGCCCTTGATCTTGCAGTTTAGGTCTCTTAGATTGGACTTGTTGGTTATTGTTGTCCATATCAGCAGCGCCATCATCCCTTGCTCTCTTCTTGCTCTTTGAAGTTGGAGCTGTCTGTGGTGAGCCATGTTGAGCAGGCAAGCGTGGTCCATTGGGAAGGAGGTGACGCTGTGGTGCGTCAATGTTGAGTGGACGCCGAGGTTTGGAGCGATGACGAATACCTTGTTCATCTACGAGTGGATGTCGAACAGTGGGAAGTGGATGACGAGCCTGTGAATACACAGACGGAAAGTGAGCCTCTCTAGGAAGGCGTTGATTCACATTGGCCTTTTTTGACCGTGATGTGCCTTCATCGTCACTATCATCATCATAGTTCTCCTCAATTTCCCTCGAGCCCTGCCTACTTCTAGATAGAGAGGTAGACTGAGCGATGATGGGTTGGTTGTTGACGCCATGTACTGTTCTGCCTTGACCCAAGACACGTTGAGCATTGGAAAAGGCTCGTGCAGTTTGAGAGGGGGAGCTTTGTCGAAAGGGAGAATCGGAACGTAACTCACGACCCTGGTAGTGAGTTGGTGGTGCAGCATCCTCGCTGTAATCGAAGTTCGACTCGTAGCCTTCCCAGATGTCACCGCTGCCCCCACGGAGATGAGAAGGCGCACTCATCTTTGTCTTCTTGTTCGGTGGCCACATCTCTTCATCTGCACGGTCTTCAGTGTTCGCTCTCTTCTTGTCTTCGAGAGTCACCTTGCTGCCGTTCCCAAGCTTAAAGATTAGCTTTTTGAGCGTTCCATTGGAACTGGGGGAAGATCTTTCACTGGGCGAGACTGAGGGAATATTCTCAGCCTCTGCCTGTGATTCATCCCACGGTCTTGCACCTCTCGAGTTTTTGACAAGGTCGACTGCTCGTCGGTCTCTGAAATGATAGATCTGATTCTTCAAGGCAATCTCAGATCTAAACGGGGCATCACGGTCATCCTTCATTGGTTGACCGGCGGCAGATGTCTTTCTGCCATCATCGCCCGTGTAGGAGGCGCTGGCATATAATTCGCCAGCGCGTTGCCTCTTTCCTTGGAAAAAGTTGTTGTAGTTGGTTGTGACCCATGTCCAATCAACATTGATCATCAAGCCATCGACTCCAGGTGCAGCAAGCTGGATATCCAGGAAGTGGCACAACGTGTTCATCTCACTGAGTGTGTACTTCCATCTTCGTACATGCTTTGCCTTGAAGGCTCGAACTAGAATCTGGCTTCGCCACTTGTTGAGACTCTTCACGTCTCTTGCGTCGGACCAGTCTATTCCTCTTGTATATTTATGGGTAACTAAAGCTCGAGCAGTTACCACATCGTGTTCATCGCGCTTTTCGGTTCGAATCTTTATTGTCAAAGCGTCTGGCTGTGGAGCTCCAACCAGGATTTGGTCTCGGCTGTGAGTTACTTCGCCGATGGCAACGTGACCGGGAGGCATCTTCTTGGATTCTCTTTCGATGGGCCCATGGCTGCTCGAAGCCATAGTAGACTGACCATTGGTGGGGCTCGAATCCTGATAATGATCTGCGATATCATGATCATCATCGCTGGTAGGATCCTCAGCTGGCTCTTCGGAAGACTCATCTTCATCCATAGCCACAGCCTGTAAGAAATAACAATTAGCATGCCAGGCCTTCATGATAAATATATTAGTAGATGATAGACTTACTTTTCCTTTACCATTCCCTAAGCTTCCCGCTGCTGGGAGTGAATGGGGCCTTGGTGATGTGACCGACTCGGCAGCAGCACTCATGACTGAGTCATCGGAGTCGACTGGTGCATCACCATGTTCCGATGGAGGCTTGGAAGTCAAACGGGGATGTGCGGGGGAATGTGCAGCCTCAACAGGCCTAGAAGCAGGGGCCACAGTAGGCTCACTGGTTTGGACGAGAGAATCACCAGACATGGTTGATTCAGAATCAGTTTCAGACTGTGACGAAAAGACTGGGCTACTGGTGGGGGTTACAGCATCCTTTTCAGAACGTCCGCCACGAAGACCTACTTCTTGGTAGTCTTCAATGTTCCAACCTCCACCACTGTGTTCCTTTATGTATTTGAGCTTGGCCGCCAATTCTTCTTCCTTGAATTTGGCCTTTTCAGCAGCCAAAGAAGCCATAACAGCCGCAGATAGTGGTTGTGGACCGGTAATATTTGGTCTCGGTTGCCTAGAAGCGTGCGCCCTGTCTTGTCTTTTTTCTTGAATGATGCTGGGAGTACCTTCGACTGGCTCTGGGTGAGGATGAGTAGCGATCCGACGCCGACTATTTTCTTCCTCCCTCAGTGTTTTGGCACGATAGGCTTTGGAAGCTTTGTGTTGTCGTTGCTCTGTGGGTGTCAAGTCGCGTCCACCGTTGAGGTCCCGCTCTCTCATGCGAAGATGTTGAGCTAGTGGTGAATATTCGGTGGATCTGGTCAGCTGAGAAGATTTAATGTAATCCTCTTCGTTTGAGTGGACGGGGGGTGGGATTGGCTGTCGCGCGGCAGTGCGTGGAATTGAGGTTTGCGTAGAAGACTCATCTTCGACGCTATCGTCTTGTGATATCTCAGACGAAGGACATTTGGAAAGTCTCGAAGACTTGGCACGTGGGGCAGGAGTTGTGTTCGACTTCGAGTTTCTTGGTCCAGATGCCTAGAAGTGACGGTTAGCTTCTGTACATTGTACTTTTACTTCATTTATTTCTTTTGGGAAAGCATACCATTCGACCTGATGCTCTTATATTTCGTGTCGAGGGCTTGGTTACCCTGTCAGCATCCTTGTTTCTAATGCTAGCGCCCTTTATATTTGACGACTTATCCTGGTCATCCACGGTTTCTGAAGCATGAGGAGGAGCCATTGTGATAGATTATTTATAAATTTTTGAAATGACGAATGTAAATGTAGATGCGACGTAAAGGTGATGTGGGGATTCTACTCAAGAGAAGGTAATTTTATTACAAGATGGTGTACTGGTTTTGCCTTTTTAAAAGTTCGATATTTCTCAGGAAAAATTGTTGTGAGAATTAAGAACCTCTCTGTAATGAAGGAGAAGAAGAAGAAGAAGAGGAAGTTCTCGTAGAAAGATCAAGTTCTTAAGAACTAATTTAAAATATCAAGTACCGTAAGTATTAAGCCTCGCTTGTTGTATTGTATATGGGTTTGAAGATTGATATCAATCTAACTGGGTAACGCCTTGATGAATTCCATTTCGTGGAACGTGCAAAATAACCTTAACTCGATAGAGGTCCCGTAGCATCGCCGATCGAGCCTATAGCGTCGCAGTTTATATGCAATAGAAACCCTTACGATGAAACCCGGTCGCCTAGTACCTGCCCCCCGCATTACTGATGGAGTGTTTCGGAGCATAGTGAAGGTGTATTGATAGTAGCCTGGAGCTCTTTATACCCACATTTTTATAATCCACTAGCCACTCGTAGGTGATCGTTCCATTGCAATATCAAGCCTCATACGGTCTTGAGCAATAAAATGACAGCTTTGTAATCTTCGTTAGACATAGATATCAATTACTTGCCTTCAATGGCAGATTCTGGAACAAACAATTTTTAAGATTCATTAAAATGTTTTGATACAGATGCGACTTCTTTCACGTGTCAAATATCTGGCATGGACAACCTTCGAGAACATGACTAACTTCTAAACTATTCGGGAAAGTCTTTGACTGTCAGAAATCCATGAAATTTTTCCTGTTCTTCAAAATCTTGAAATGAAGAAACTGAGCAAAATGATTCTATTCTGCCATAGCGTAGTACACCAATACCCCTTCCGTATGCTGTTTGAGATTAGAATATAACTGCAGGCCTGGAACTCATGATTTAACGGCATTTTCAAATTATCCATCTCTCCAGATCTATCTCCCGGTCCATACTAAAGATGTTCGTTGATCGAATTAGCAGCTTGTCGTTGAGCAGCGATATCTAGAAGTATTACCGACTAACTTCTCTTCTTACCCTACCGCAGATCATTGCATGAAGCATGTTAACTTTTGAACTTTAGAATAGGCATTTGACCTCGACTTATTACTCAACCCCTTTTGTCTCGAAATTAACTCGACTGTTTCGGGTCCCCCCTAAAACGCAAAGCGAGATCCGAACTGCTTCAATAAATACGAGACAAGGGGAGGAGTCATGCAAAGAACAATGGCTGGTATACATTAATTAGGACGGGAAAGAATCTAGATCTGCAAGGGAGGAAGAACAATGACTTTCTAGACATGGCAAAAAGGAGACGAATCTCCTATATTAGTACCTGGATTTCCTCACATAGATGAGACCAGGGAACCAAAATAGCCGGTTATGCGACAGGACTAGGTGTGCCACCAAATATTGAAGAATGAAGGGAAGTGCAAGTTAACATCACCTGCAACATTTCGGGAAGATTCGTGTGGGAGTAGTATCTGCGCTTGGTAGTTAGTTAGAGAGTGATTAGTTTACTTTCAATTGAAGGATTGGGATGTCGTCTAATAAGTTTTGAAGCAAGTGTGTAGAAGATGGCATGAAGGCTTGTTTGACAGTTAGCAAGAGGGAAGACGACACTACTTGATCAAAGTGAAGTTGATACACTTCTCAATATCTGAAAAAGATCGCCCCCGAGAGTTTGCAATGAGATAACGGGCGAGGAACATTGAATTGGCCGCAGGAAGAGAATAGATGTGACATTAAATACTCAAGCTCATCATATAATCATGAGCAATATGTTAGACTGTTTTGACGAACAGCATAAAATGATTCAAGAATAATGGTCATGCAAACATACCGCGAGTTTAGGTGACAATTAAAGAACAGGACATATACAAGCGTAAATAATTGAGCAAGCTAGACTTGGGATCTAATTAACATCTAATTAACGTATAATTTCCTTCTCATCCTTTATCTTATTTGTGTGAATGTATAGTATAAAATTAAAATGCTAAAGAGTTTTTTTCGCCATGAGTTATTCGACTTGGTTTCACTACTATCTTATGCTAAGGGTAAAGTCTTGACTCAAATAAGTCTCTCAACCTCTTGTAATTCTGCCACTTCTGGCAATTTAAGGCAACTTGAAGGACTCTTTTCTTCTTTGCAGAATGAAAATAATGTTATACTGAACGATGCCACGGGAACGACGACGTCTTAAGAACCCAGAGTCAGAAGCTAGGTATATCTTTTTATCATTTGCAACCCTGCTTAAGTTAAAAAATTCATGGTTTACTTAACCCGAAGATACCCTTCAGAATGAGATAGTCCAGGTAGGATTAGAATCTGCTTGTAATGAGTATTCATTATTCTTTATCTAAAACTATTCTTTAATAGATCAAGTATTAATTTTACAATGTAACCAGTGGGCAATGAATGATTACATTCAATAGCCTTTTGTCCTACACTCAAAATTCTTCTGGGCTCTAAGGAATAGTACAAATCTTGGCTCGCCAAGTTCTTGACCTGTATATTCATTGAAAGAAGGTGATTTTGAATAAAGTGGATAGCGTTTCCAGACGTGTTGCATTGCAGTTTTCAGATGGTTCATCACATAAACAGATATGTCACTGACGGTCTCCTCATCAGCTTGACTTCTGTTACCAACTACTCAATGGATGGTAGATTGAGCATTGATGATTGAAGTCAGGCTAATAATGTTTATGTAAGGTCATATTGAAGAGTCATGAAATCAGCTGAAGTCTTGTGAAACTTTAGTTTTTGAGAACAGGAGATGAACTAGAAGTTTGGAATTTTGAAACTTAAATCATATTAATAAAAGCTATAAACTTATTATTGCTTCTTTTACCCAGAGATATCCGCAAGGCTTTGAATTTGATACCTATCAAGTGAAAAGTATGGTCCCGTCATATAGCCTTGTTTAAGTACAAGGCTACTGCCTCTCAGCTTAATTATTCTCGTCTCAAACATGTATAACTATATATTAGATGAGATCAAATGAACTTACTACTATTCTAGCAATAATTAAAGAAATCTAATTAGCCGAAGTATGCCCAGTTTGTTATAAAACAACACGAACAATAGCAAACTCGGACTTATCATAATATAATATTGCAGCCTCAACAACAACAACGGCATCAACAATAAAAACTGCTCTCATGAATCAACAAGAACATATAGCTTGAAGTTTGTTTCAATTCTGAGTGCTTCTCATATAATCACAACTATTTGCTAGGGAAGAAAATCAATATCAAGACTTGTGCGAAAGTGATCTAAGATAAGTATGTTGAGATTCCTTTCTTCCTTTGCTGACTCGCAGTGTTTTCTATGACATACGTCAATTTTATTGTCCACAAATACTATGTTTTTTAATTTTCCCATCAACATGTTAGACACAAAGCTGAGGAGTCATCTGATGAAGCATCCTCCTGCCAGTAGCAGCGACAGAAGCAGACGATAGCACGTATCCATCACAACACACCTCAACACGCAAGACTTGACCATTGACTGGTCCACATTAGATTCAGTTTCTGAAGCGTTTCACTTCTTCAATCTTATCGATCTTTTCAAAACACTCTTCTCTAAAACTCTACAAAAAGTTGATCCCACAAAGAAAGTCTGCCTACAAGAATGCTGACACCCCTCTTTATCACTTGCACTCGATCGCACATTTGATTCCATCAATTCAAGCCAATTTCCTTCTTTTCATGATAGAAAAATTATCTAACAGAACCTGACTGCTTAGTTCTATGAGAAGCATCCTCAAGCATAAGTCGATCTTCATAAGGATTACAGATGTTTGATCCTTTGGAAAAGTGCAATTAGTGTTTTCCTCTCCTATACTAGTGAGTCTTTCAATCCACTCTCATATTGCTTCTTTCATCTTCTTTCATCCCATTATCTACTTTTAGTCAAAGAAATCATTTGATTGGCGTTTTGGATTCTCTCAGTTCAATTCTCAAAAAAACGATGGTGGAAATCTATGGAAACATTGCAGGAAAAAGCATGCTAACAAGTAAAAGCCAACAGGAATCTTCGTGATGTCTCTTCACAAAAATACCCCGAAGCCTCATAAGTCCGACAAGCTTACAGAGCATCTCCAAGAAACACCTAATTCACTGCGAGTAAGCGCTACCAAGAGGCCCAGACTCGCCCCCCAGCCTTCTGGAAATGTCGACGAACCTCTCATCATCACTACAACTCTTGAATATACTGATACAGAAACATCATTCAGCCCTGGTCATGCGCCAGGCTATTTGCAATGGAGAAGAGCTCTTGTCCCCGATCTAGCTAGTGAAACCGAGGAGGAGAAAAAACACCGAGTAAGTTTATATTCTTCACTTCTTTTTTCTTATCTCAAACTAAGGCATAATAGCTAAACAAAAGACACGCCCCGAAGGGTAAAAGAGGCACACGCTGTATTGACGATGGAACCATTGACCGAAGCCCTGCGATTCTTGGCAAACCAGACCCCTCTAAGCTTGTACTTAGGTTCAGGACCGAAGAAATAGACGAGTGTTCAAATATGCTGATTCAAGGCGATGTCGAATTCCAATACGAGGATGATTCAAATGGCGTTCGAGTGGATTGGAATGATATCAAATCTTTACATGCACTTAATAATTGGCGAAATCAAGTTATTCGACGAAACATTGGTAAAGCCTATGATAACAAGGATTTTTGGACTGTACAAGAACAAAAGATTCTCACTGAATTGGTTCAGGATTATCTTAATGCCAAAAAAGATATCGATTGGACGGAGATTGCTAAAGATTACAACTCCTCAATTGAAAACATTGAACAGGATAAAGGAATACCTGGTGCTCCCCGGCGCTATCGTTGCAAAAATAGCGAGCAGAATCCCCGAGAAGCTGTCTGTATCTCTGTACCACTTCGCGAGAATCGTCAGATACCCAAAAGAGATGACTGGGTCTTACGCCAAGAGATGGGTTTCTTTCTCGCTCCCGATGCTATCTCAGTGATGGAGATGCTGAGAAACAGTGCCCTTCCCCAGAAAAATGGTCATCCGCCAGCGAGGACTTGCCGCGAGCAAAGCCAATTGGGAAAGCGAAGCAAGGATAAGGTAACTACTCAAGATTCTTTGGATGAGCAAGAATGCTCTTTTGCTTCTTCTACATATGAGACCGATCGCTCTATGGTCGAAGCAGCTCCAGAATTGGCTCCAACTCCTCCACTTCGTCCTCTTACCCAACCTCGACCACTTCAACCTCGCCAGAAGACCATCGTTCAATATAAAGAAGAGCCACCTCGTAGTCGATACAAGAAGCGCAATGTTTACAACGAAGAGATTGTTTATGACAAGCCATCAACTGATTTTCACCGTTACTCAACCAATTTTAACACGAGTCAAGGATTTGGTGATAGACGACATGCTCTTGATCTTTTGGCTGAACAGGCTGCAATCTTGCATGATCACTTGCCTGAAGAGTCGAAGTGGTCTGCCCCCAGACCTGTTTTACCCACTACCAAACCTGCTCCTAATGCACCTACTCCTACTGCACCTGCACCTGCGCCAATCAGATTTAGACCTGTGACTTTTGGTACTATCGCGTCTACTCGCAATGGGACTGTTCCAATGCCGACTGCTCGCATGGTACCTGTTTCCAAATCGATTATTCCCATGAAACCTGCTACAATGGCATCTAATCCTTCTGCAACGAGAGAAAAGTTCGCAAAACCCGTCTTGAACCAAATGACTTTTACGCAGACACCAGATCCTTCAGAAACGCCTCTTAATCGAAGTTTCAATCCGCCACGACCATTTGTTCCTCGCATGCCTGATTGGAAAACCAATCGTCGAATGAGAGAAACGGTTGGGGAAGAAATTACTGAAGCCAAGGCCAAGAAGCGCAGCACTTCGGAGCCAGCTCCTGAGATTTGAACTAGTCATGCATCTGGTTTTACTCCGCTTCAATTCTTCTGTTCTCAAGGTTTGCTGCATTAGGATTCTTTCTAATCAATTCAAGCCTTCATCTGACTCAGTCTTTTGCAATTTTGACTAAGTCTCTGATTGGTTGGTTGTTCATTCACTTCTGATTTTCTGTTTCGGAAGCATTACAGATACTTTCTTGCTTTAATTATAGGGTGCTTCTTAGATCTCTGGTGTATGGAAGTGATGATTGTTACACATTACTTAAATTAAGAGAAATTTTATGAAGGACTCAATGGCATTTTGTATGATCACAAATCGGTGGTTTAATTTTAACGTAGAGAACAATTGAAATTGTATAACATACATGGACCCACCTGGACTTGTGATCTAATATTCTCCTGTCAAGTGCATCATGAAATTCATAGCAGAGTCGAGACTTTGACTGATTTCTATACAATTATGGACAGTTTATAAAAGTTTCCCGTGCAATGCGTAGCTCCTGCTACCAAAAACACCACGGCCAATAGTTGTGGAAAGGGCAGTGGCGAACAATTACTTCCTTCCTCATTCTCTTACACGACTACCTTTGATATATCGCAATCTTTCTAACAACTCACAGTATAGTTCATACAAAACTTGTTGCAAGTCATACATTAATATCGGGTAAGTCGCTCATCTAGCTGTCTGAACATGATATATGTAGCTGTGGATGGATCACTGATTTTGATAGATCAGTATGAACTTTTTTCGAGTACAAATTGTATATTACTCTACAGTTTCTTAGTTTGTAGTCCGTTGTCCATTAAATCGTCTTACCACAGTGAGCTAGCCTTTACATCGTAAAGGTACGGATATCTATCCAACGGCGTTCATTAGCCTTCTGCATGAAGTGTCCCTACCTATGAGACTATTACCACATCACATATCTGGAAGTTGTCCAATTTCCACCATCAAAAGGAATCTGTTTTACTCTTAGGAAATAAGTAAGCTTTCTTCTCCTCTGCCATATCTGGACAGTCCACGGCAGACACAACGCTCGAGGATAGAGAGTCATTGCAAATAGCTATCGTCCTTCGCACTACTTAAATTAAGTTCATAGGACCAAATGAATAGCTGGCAAGATGTCAAAGATATACGATACTCATAGTTAATTCTCTTTAGATTGAACACTGGTGTCAAGTCTCACATAAAGTTCGCACGTAGCCAGCAAGATGAGAGGCATTGTGATGATCCGAGGCCATACATACGTACAACTTCTGGATGAGATCAATATCAAAGATCCAGAAGCGATCCGCCGTGTTATCAGGCAAGCTGTTACGCTTCCACCAATTGATGAAGTTACGAGACAAGGAATTAAGGGATGCGTATCTGGGCCTATATCGAGCTTACTTGGTACTTCGACTCTGAGCCTCACTTGGGTTGAGCAACAAGCCGCGAACGACATTCAGAAGCTATGGAAACGTGGAGAAAGATATCAAGTTCATATTAAACGCTTAATCCAGGATTGCGATGTGACAAAGGCAGATTTCTTGGTTGTGAAAGGGGTAGAAAGTGCACGGAAGCTTTGTTTACAAGCTCAGGATGAAGAAAGGCAAAACGAGGAACATCGGAAGCGTGTGCGGCCTGAATCCAACGAGTACCAAGATCTTCCTGACGAGGAGTATGATCAAAACTTACCTCAAACACCAAACGATGCATTTGAAGGAGAGAAAAGAAATGTCACTGGTCATCTCAGAGAAAGAACTACTCCGAACAAAAAGCAAAAGAGAAAACAAAGTGTTATTGAGCATTCTCCTACAAGAAGTACTTCAAGTGAATCGCAAGACTTTGAGAATCAGGAGAACCAAAATGAATTCACGCATATCAACAAACCGGGCAGTGATGGAATAAGCTACAGTAAAAAGCAGGCTGGTCAGTACAAATTGATTGTTCAACCCAACGGAACTTATCTAATTGACTTACTCATTGAATCAGGCAAGCCTAATAATACCCCTGGAACTCGAATGGTGAATAGTCTGAGAGATCACAACGCACCTGCAGTTGATGTCACCAAATCACCAGATAAATCGCCAGTTCGCCGAACAAGAAATTCAACTCAGATGAGAGGAGAGAACAGCTGGGATGGCTCAAATGAAATCGTTCCGTCCCCTCAAGTTGATTCCCCACGAATTAATATTCGTGGGAGTCAGAATCCAAGTAACGCTTCATTAAGAGAATTAGCTGATTACAATGAACGTGGGGCAAAAGAAAAGAAAAGGCGTGGTAGACCGAGAAGACATCAACCTGTTGAGCAGCAGCCTGAACTGATCAATGATGGCGAAAATGATATTTATACTCCTGAACCACAGATCCCACCTGCCCCGTATAAAAAGAAGGTAGGGCGTGGAGGCGCAAGACGCGGGCCAGCCTGGGAGAAAAGAAAGGCCGAGAGAGAGAACGACGCGCGTTCTTCCAATCACAAGAGTCAGGATGATCAGCCGGGCAGTGAGAGCAACCCGATCGGAATAGAAGACGGCTCAGATAATGAAACTGTGGTGTATGGGCAATTAGACAACCAGGAAGAAGATGTTAAGATGGAAGATGTGCAATAAATTACTTGCGATACGCAATGGAGAACCGAGTAATAGATCATTTGTTCGATGATGAGATGATTCATACCTCATTCCCTTTCATCCCAATGAAACTTTGTGGATGGTTTCTGAGTTTTAAGTTTCCTCAGCTAGAATTATAGAATGGATGGTTGGTTGGTGATGGTAGGATGTTAAAGCCAGATGTCGGCTCTCTGTAGGTATTGAGACTGAAGTATGAATTGAAGCATGAATATATTATTTTCTAACATTGAGTGAAATAGGATATGAATCAATCTTCTACGCTCGTGTCCGAAATTGAGTTTATAACACCTTAGAATGACACGCTGTGAAATACCCTGCACACGGTGCTCAAAGAACACTTATTTATCAATGTATTTCAGACAGTGTAGGCAATAGTATACTACAACAAAACAGTGGTATATATAAAGCTTTTAATATGGTAATTAGTATATATTAGATAATTGAAAACTTATTATTATAGATATTATTCAAAACTAATATCTACGAAAATATATAGGAAAACTGAAATATAAAAACCTAAAAATATATAAAAGATAATTCTAAAAATCAAAACTAATCCCAAAAAAGTTTGAATAATAAAAAAATATTATTCAAAAGAATAAATCCTATCTTTTATTTATTCAAATTCTCGAATTCTATATTATCTTTTATTCATAAATCCAAATTTAATTATAATTTTAAATATTCTATTTTTTTAATAATTACAATTTGAAGCTTATTTCATTTTGTTGTAATAATAATTTTTATTGAAAAAAATAAGTATTTAATAGAAGCAAATATGTTAGGAATATTAAGTAAATCAAATACTATTTTGTTTAAATTAGGATATACTTGTTGTTATATAAAATCAAATTATTATTTATAAGAATCTTGAATATATTCAAAAGAGGGAATAATAAGATATTTTGTATATTTGTCTATTATATAACAAAATATCTTTTTAATTTGTAGATATATAATCAGTATATTAAAAAAGGTTTTTTCAAATATTAATTAAAATAAATCTTCGAAATCTGATTTATATTAATTTTTCCAAAATCTTTCAATATTATTCTTTTATTTTTCAATTTATAATAAATAAGATTCCTTTTAAGATTTTTCGAAATATAATCATTTTTATATAGAATTTAATATAATAATAGCAATATAATATAATAATCTATTAATAAAAAAGTAATATTTTTCGAGTTTTATTTACTCATTATTAATATAGAAACCTAAAAATAGATTGTTTATATAAATAATGTAAATAAAATTAAATATAAATAGAATAAGCAAATAAAAAGATATAGAATAAAGAATATATAAACAAAAAATATATAAATAAAGAATATAGATTATACCTTTTTATTTTCAAAATATTATAACAAAAACTTTATTGTAAAAAGAACTTTTTTAAAAATAATATTATTATCCTTTATAAATTTTATTATATTTTTTAAAATATCTGAAAAGTAATAAATATTTTATAATTAATCAAAATTATTATTTGTTAGTTCAAACTTTATAAAAAGCTTATTTGGATATTAAATTCATTATTTTTTATATATATGATATATTTGAGGTATAAAAAATATTAAAAAAAGATTATTAATAAAATTCTATCAAATTGAATTATCTTTTATAAATTGTTTTTTTATTAATTTATCCCATTATTATAATAAATAAGGGAAATTGCTGATTTTAAAGGTAAAATTATAACATTTATTTATTATACCTTTCTTTTTTCAATATTTATAATTGAATTTTGAAATCAAATCAGTTTTATATATAAAAACTTCAAGATTATAATCTGAATCAAAAGCTTAATCTTTAAATATAAAATCTTTGAATAAAAATACTTTTACAAAAAGATTGATATTATATACATTATATCGAATTCGATTCTATACAGTATTCTATTCAATATTGTTTTTATTAATAAGATTTAAGGAATATTCAAAAATATTAATAAAATCAAAAAAAGAATAAAAAAGGAAAAAAGAAAAATTTACAATTTGAAAGATAAATATATAAAATATTATTATTCGATATATTATCTATTACTAAATATTCTAATTTGCTTATAATCCCCTATTTATTAATTTTATTATATAAAAGTTTTACAAAGTTTTCATTAATATAATGATTTTCAATTTCTTTTAACATAAAAATAATAATTTGCAATTTGCTTATCTCATTAATAAATTGAATTTTAATATCAAAAATATTATATTTATTAAAAAAAATCCAGATATTATAAATAATATGAATTTTGCTATAAAAAGAATATATTTCTTGTTTCATTTTGAGCTTGTTTTTATTAAAATTATGAATAATCCATCCTGAAATAATATAATAAAAACTAGAAATCTAGATATTTGATTATTTATTAAAATAAATAAGGAGAATTCAAAATTTATTATATTCAAAAAGATTCAGTAATAAAAAATATCAAATAAAGAATCGAACCATAAGGATTTCGAGAGTTTGAGAATTAATAATATAAGATTCAGGCAAATAACTGAAATCCTTTTTCTCATTAATCATTCTTTTATATTTAAAAGCAATAGTTTTATATATATTAATAAAAATTTGCTTAATAGTAATCTATATATACTAAAAATACTCTTTTCGAATTGAAATATCAGTTATTTAATATATATTTCGAAAATACATTAATATAATCCGAATACTATTAGTTTCAAGATATCTAATTTTGTAATAATTGTATCTCCATTCTACTTTATCCTTTTTAATAAAATATATTATTTAGAAATCCTTATCTGATATATATTTCCAAATCTATACCTATCAATAACAAGCTATTAATATTATAAAATTCATAGATATATTAGAACCCTCGATATTGAATAAGAATATAAATATTGATATAAATAATAAAGGAATTAAAGAATTAAAATCAAAAAAATCATTTTACAAAAATTCAGTAGATTCGATTAAAATAAAAGAATTACAAGAAAATAGAAATTAATTAGATTGAAAGTTATCTTTATAAAAAATAAAATCAATAAAACTTAGAATATTAGATATGTAAATAAAAAACATTTTGAAAAATTAAAAATAAAATAAAATAGAATAATAAAAAGAATAATTATTTAGAGATTTTATCTTATTAAATAATAAAAGATTCAACAAAATCACCATTCTATTAATTATCTCTAGATCTCTCAAAATAATCAAATTTATAAAAATAATATTCTGATATTGATATTCACATTCAAAAATATCAAAAAGATTAAAATATTTAATAATATTAATAATTTATTATTAATTAATAATAATTCAATTGAATATATAATTTGATATTATTGAAATCTAAAAATAACCTTAAATTCGTATATATCAATTTATTCCGTACCAATCAGAGATTCGTATTCCCATATCTTATTAATAATATTCAATATTAGAATGATATTGAATATCTTTAATGATATTGAATTCTATACTATGTATGTATATATTTCGAAGAAAAATCGATACATATCATTATCTAGCCCGTATACGGATTACGGGAAATACTATTGCCTACACTGATTTCAGATTCATAAAAGACTTTTAGCCAAGTAGTAGTCAAGTAAAGAATCAATATACCTGATACCCTTTCACATTCTGTGGGCAATTTCACGCTGCTAATTATCATGTATTCGGAAAGCCGAAGGAGACAGGGGAAATTCAGCTGCAACATCACTCTCTATATGACAGCCTATTATACCATATCGTAGTATAGCTCTCAGGAGCTGCAACTTGCAAATTTCCATCCACAGAAAGTCTCCATAGCTCTGACGAGTAGAAAAGATCGAAAAGCTGCCCTGTTTTGATCCGCATATAGGTTCTTGGCAAGTACGCATCTAAATGTGAAAAATACCAACATGTCAACTCATATGAAATGTAAGACCATGCTGCTAGCGGATGTGACTTGCTATAATAGGCTAACCCCTCGCTTCTCTCTAGAGGTCGGCGACAATTTGCAATAGAAATAGAGACACTAACTTTTAGAGATAGTGGAAGGTAAATAGTTGATAATTCAAAAGTGAGAAGTTACAGCTGAAGTTGCTTTATTTGTTGAATTGAGGAAGGAAAAACTCCACATCTCTGCTCTAAGGAGAGACAAAGATGATAAAAAGCCGATTGGATAGCAATATACAATTCTTGTGTAGAAGTGCAATTCGAGCTTGTAGTCAACTAGTACATGCCAGATGGAAGTTGAGATAATAAATCTCTAAGGATTCAATTGCATAGATGTGTTTCACTGTTCATCTAACATAGAACAGGTGAAATCTAGAGCTGGTACGATCAGGGGATATAGACACGGCAAATCCATCTAGCCTGAGGAATAGGGTATCCATGTAAATAGTCACAAGCTCCTTCACACAGTTCAATAAGGCATTTATCTCCATGAAAATTGCATAAAAGATCGTTGAGTTTAAATTGTCCTGGTACGGCACGTTCTACTGTACATCCACGTGACATGACACTGCTCACCAGATCAATACTGTGACCTTTATGGCCCGGGTTCTATTCTAAATTTACTTCCTGACAACACTTTTGATTTCTTATAGATTATAAGCCACGGCTTTTCCTTTCAACATCAAAACGACAAACAACACTTCGGTCACTGATAATTAAAAACTATTGGAAGTTTCGTTTGATTTCGCTTCTTGCAAATCTAAGCAATCTTGGACCAGGCTACCAAAAAATCGAACTTTGGATACTTTGTTTTTTGCATTTGTTTTGAACTTCTGGATTTGAAGTTAAAAGAGGAGAAGGTTCGTACTTTAAAAAACTATTCACCTCACTCCTACCTCATCATCTCAAGCCCCATCCTTGCGGTTCCAGTTATATGTCATGATACATACACTAATTTATTGAAGAAGTAATTCGGATCTTCCATAATCTGAGACGCTTGTATAACATGGCACCACCTTCTCTTGACCTAGATTATCCTCGCTGGAACAATTCAGTACTAGACCAGAAATACTTTCGTTGGAACAAACTGTTCGATACGATGAACTTTGATGACGACGAATCTCTGGGCAAGATACTCCAAGCTGCTGGTGCAGCAGAAAGATTTCATCCTTTCAACCTCAAGTTGATTGAAGGTACCAACTTGAACGAATTTGAAATGGTTGCAGTTCGCGACCTTTCGTATGCGTTCAATCGCAATTTTTTCTGCCGTGATATAGTGCGCCACCTCATATTGTTCTCCAGATACGAGGATAAGGTCTTCACTCTCGGGAAAGCAACAAAGCTTTGCACGGATATACTCAAAATCACCAAATTAAGTCCTGTACGTCAGCCAGATATGTATCTCAAGATTCGAAGAGAATTCTGTCGATTAGCGCCAGACCTGGAAAATCTTGATGAAGATGAAGCGGAGGCAGAATTAGATCGATGGGCAAGATGGAGGCATCATGAAACACGGGTCGTCACGGGACTTGGGATAAGACAATCTGCTCAGGGACAGGACGATGATCCAGCATCTCCTGGAAGCATGAACGCCAATGTTGAGAATAGCCGGGAAGTAACATCTGTGAGAAACACAACAGAAGCCGAGTTACTTGAGGTATTTTTTCTTATTCCAATCGATTGACATCATGCTAATTCAATTTTCAAAGGCGGCTAAGGTTCTCGTTTCGATGAGCTCACAGGGAATTGCAGATGGCCTGGTTGTGACTCCTGTTCCAACTCCACAGACTCAAATTTCCAATAAAAGAAAGCGCAAAGAGACATCTAGTGGCCCAGATAATGAATAAACTCCATCTCGGAACGAAAAAAGTCTTCAACAAGTTATCACTACAGAAGACGAAGCTTATCACAGATTCATCCCATTTTGATAAGATCATTATTTTTATCACGGAGTAAAGATCCAAATCGTTTCAGATGTCCAAACAAGCGGGCGAGCTACCAATTTCTCGAGGGCTTTCTGGCGGAATCGAACCACAACAGATAAAAGACATGCCAGAGAAGTCAAAGCAGAAATAGATACGTTATACGAAATCTTGAAGAGCCTCACAAGAGAATCTCGCACAGGGAGAGGTGCGAATTCAATTGTTTGGAAGTCAGTTACTGATGAGTTCAATCGTCGCTTTCAGGGTCGCTTACAAAAAAAAGGCGCTCTTGAGAAAGACGGGAAAGATTTACTAACAGAAGATCGTTATACACCAAAAAGAAATATCGGTAGTATCCAAAAGATTTGTCAGGCTGATTTCCGCTTGAAGAGTATCCAAGAAGCGTGCAAGAATGTGAAGAAGGAACTGGACATTGTGATGGATAAGAAATTAATTCAAGTGAAAGTTTCTGCGGAAGATCAATTATGGTTCCAAAGATCTACTTCAATAGTCGCAAATATTCTCATCACCTATAGAGTCCCCCACAAATGTTCAAATGGAAAGGAATCAGATACGTTGACAACAACGACCGTACAGAGGCAAAACTCCACACACCGGACAGGAGCAAGACTATCATTGAGTACATAAGTTTACTCAACGAGCCGAAACAAGATAACCCTGAACACTTTAAATTGGGCCGAGTTCTATTTGAATACAGACTGAAAATGAGCTGGAGCTCACGAAGTGCTGTTGTGATGCTTAATCAATGGCGTCAAATACTGTTGCATAGGACATCAGGGGTTTCTTTAAAAGGAAAGAAAACGGGGGTCGATCTTACGTGCCCTTGGTTTTTGGATGAAAAATACAGACTTGGGAACACAGTGATCTAACAAATGGATGAAATTAGTCTTCGCGATAGAAATGTGTCAGGGGTGGATTCTTCGTCGGTCACTATAGAGTTTAACGACAGTCTCGGAGTGTATCGGACCGAAACCCAAATCAAAAAATTGGTTTCCGGTAAAGACTACAGGGAATTGAAAGATAACTACATGATAGAACAGAAAGAGAGAAAGAGAGAGATAGAGGATGCGAATGCGGCGGCTGCATTTGCGTTTTTGGCGAAGAAGTCAAGAATTTCCTCTTTCGGCGATGATCAATAACACCCATTACAACTCTGCGAGTTCCATTCTTAAGATATCTGGAGTCGCGTCTGCTTGTCACGCGAATTTATCATCGAGAGGTCATCTTTCAGTCAATAATATAGTTGGGGCTCGATTGTTTTGGATTTCTTATGAGGCGGCAAGAGTCTGTAACGTTAACGTGAGGCTAGTAGTGGATTCTTTGGGACAAGAATTGACGGTCTTGTATTCTCGTCGATGGGTTCCGGGAAAGTTGAGTTGAGATTGAAGAGTAATCAGAATTATTCAGTCCTCCTTCAGCGTTAATAATAAAGCTTCTACATCATGTGCCATGATTTCATCATCCAATCTTGACTAGATAGAGTCGTGATGCACTGTCAGTGACTTCATCGTATTATGAAAACATCATTGAGAATTGAAACCACAAATTCTCATTGCCATGAAGTAGAACCTGATTTATTTTGAATCTGAGAGGTTCCGAGAGGTCCCGTTAATTATGAATCACTTTTCACCATCTTTGATTTCAGTTTACCGGTCACAAATATTTCGATCATCTCTCTGCCCCCCCTCACGAGCTCTAAGCTCCAAGCTCATACCAATTATGGATTTTTTCTGCTACTACTCAACCATAGCATTATCCAGTATAGGCAATAGTATACTATAATAAAATGGTGGTGTGTATAAAGTTTTTGATATGGTAAATAATATATATTGGATAATTGAATACCTATTACTATAAATATCATTTAAAACAAATATTTATAAAGATATATAGAAAAACTGGAATATAAAGATTTAATTTTAATAAAGTTTAGATAATTAGAAAATATAATATATATAATAATTAATTAAATATATAATAATTTATTAGAGCTTTCTTTTTTATTTCAATTAATTAATTAATTCAATAAACTCTTTTTTTTAGTAATTCAATAATTTTATATTAAATAATATTAAAAAGATTAAAATATTTAATAATATTAATAAAATCTGGGGATAATCTCAAATTTGTATATTTTGATTTATTCTGTAATTAATCAAAAATCTATATTTCTGTATCTTATTAATGGTATTTAATATTAGAATAATATTGAATATTTTTAGTGGTATTGAAGTCTATATTATGTATATATATATTTTGAAGAAAAATCAATATATATTACTATCTAACCTATATACAGATTATGGGAAATACTATTACCTATACTGACATTATCATTCTCCACTCCTATACATGTAATCACTTCAATGCCAGAAGAAAGTCCTGTAGGCCATGACAAATGGCCATCTTTCACCTATTCTTGGTTGACCATCCGTTAAAATCTGGACCCAGCGATCCCTAAGCTGGCGTTTTTCTTGAGCTACAGATTCAAACTCCGAGATCTAAATTTCTCTGAATGTAAACCTGTATTTGTATCTACCCGTCTCCAAAAACTGTCAAGCGCATCGTGATAACTCCCCAAACCTCGAGTTAACGCATGTGAAGTAGAGTTTTGTCAGATTGAAGAAATCTAGGCGTAATATTGAATGGGGGTATAGATTGAATAGTTGATCGCAAGACACAGATCAACATTTCTCAGGTCTTCTGGGGATGAGGCATAGTTACTTGGATCTGCAATAAGAGTGCAGATCTGAATCCGCAGCTCAGAAGGTGCATATAATAAACTTCCTGAGATACTTAGAGACCGAGAGCTAGAGTCACATCTATGTTACCTATGGTTGATGAATTACAAAAGTTCCAATGAAGTTTTGCTCACATGAGCTAGAGTTCTACATATTTTAGAAGGTTGAGACTTTGGGCTTGGGTATGGGGCAAGAGTCAAGAGTCAAAAGTCTGGAGACGGGAGATGTCTGTGAAAAAGTCACACGAAGGAAGGAACTCCAAAAACTGACTGTTATGATTTTTTGTATTGCAAATTGAGCCCCTTAAAGTAAATCCTGTTGATACAACTGGAGTGCCAAAAACGCAAACCACGGTGAGAAATATGTAATATTTTACGATCATCTTCCTCATAGTCCCTACTTTTCTGCAAATTTGTAGACTGGTTTCCTGATATGGGGATACTATCGATTCAATTCCAGTAGCTTAGAAAATGCGTGGCAAATTTTCTGTTGAAACCAATTCGATACCTTACAGAAATTGCCAAAAACGCCAGAGATTATCATCAAGAGATGTACCTCAAACGTCAGACCAAGCTGAGAAACTCAAAAATTATACTCGACTCCAATCTCGCGGCTCGGCAAGTCGAAAGATTTCTCAATCATCTCGAAAATAACAAACCAGTTCTTGACGTGCGTGTTCTGATCGCGTCGCTGTTGCTTTGGTGTCAAGTTTCTGAGTCTATCAAGATCGACTGGAAGAAATTCTATGGGTCCTTGGCGACTGGATGGATGCTGGCGACGGCCATTTGCAAGTCTTGGTGTTACGTGACGTGCAGCTCTGCGTTTCTGAGCACGGAACTTCTCCATCTCTTTGCTGCTGGCGACCATTGTGATGAATTCATCATCAATATTTCTGTTGGAGTCTACAGGCTCTCGGATTCTCGTCGAAGTTTCTTTTTGAGCGATTTGTGGCTTTTGTGGCTGCTCTACCGTCATCTTGGGAGCACTTGGCTTCTTGACAATTTTATTCTCGATACCCTGATTTCTGACATCCATTGTGCGCTCTATTTGTCCCAAGTCTCTAGGTGTGTACTTGCGAATCTTCTCTCGTCTCCAGTCGTTCAGGAGAAAAATGTCGCTCTCGTCGTTCCAGTCGAATGGCTCACCATTGCCATAACCCCGATCGTAATAGACCTCTCGACCCAAGCCAGCTTCTGTCACACTGAGCAGTGCAATTCGCATTTTGTTGGGTTCTTGTGATCCAATCACTGCTGGTGTGAGGTCTTGTCTGGGTTTGAGTGTCCAGTCGCGCTTGCCGCCAAGCTTGCTTCGAAGAGGAGGTGGGAGTGATGTATTCATCTTGTAAGGGAGTCTTGGGGAGTACGTCTTCTCCTGTTGCTGGATTGTCCAGACAAGTTTTTGAGGGGTATGCTGGTGGAAGGCTAGTTTGAGTGTAATTGTTAGTCTATGATGCAGAAGAGAACATAGATAATCTTATGCTAAAAGGGAATTTACCTTGATTATATGCGGATAGTGATTTCTACCTTTGACAATCTTTGAAGTAGTAAAAACAAAAAAAGATCTCGGAGCTCTCTAGAATTAAGTAGAGAGGCTGTACAAACTAGTTCGACTTCGAATCGATTGATTAGTTAGTGAATATGAGGCTAATATCGTGTATCACGTGCACGTGTGGCATGATTCGGCTCTCATTAGACGAGTACCCCTGATTGACCAAAGCGGCATCATTGATATTGACAATTTAGAATATGCATCATCAGACTTTAGTAGTAGTAAAGACTGTGCCTCGGTGATAGATGAGATCAGACAAAAGTTTGAACTCCAAATATGGTATAATGTACATTTACTGAACTTTTAGTACTCGCTTAAATTGTGGTGAAAATTTATACAAGTTCACGAAATCGATCACATTTTAGGAAAGAAAAAGGTTTCCCTTTGAAAGTAAGCTTTCAAGAATAACTGCCATGAGGTTGTAGAGAATTCTGGATTTTGAGAAGATCATGAGTAACTCACATCAAACCTCACTGATGATAAATCGATAGAACTCTTTGATTTTGCGCGGCTTGTGATGATTTTGTGAGGTCAAATCAAGAATTCAACGGGAAAAAACTTGAGGAAATAATTTCACAAAGACTTCCAGAGGATTTTAGTGTCCTATAGCTTGCTTTCTGACTGGTACGATTGTTCGAGTGTTGCCAACCACAAGGCTTATTATAATCAACATCTTCTACTTCAATATCACTCTTGACTCTATAAAGTATATGCATTCTTCAGGCGAAAATTTGAATGGCATTTAAGGCTGTGGGGCTCACGATGAGCTCACGTTGTGCTCGTTTGACGAGTGGGATATATAAAGTTGATTCAAGGCTTGTGGATGTCATGATATAGATGCCGCTCTGAGCAATACGAATTAATTGGGTTGCTAGATGAATGGAGCTGTTGATTTGCAATGCCAAACTTCTCGTGCTTACGTGACACAATGCTGTGCTTTGAAAAGCATAATAATAGCCCTAGTTACCAAGAAGAAGCATCATATATTCTTCAACGAGAACTTGTAGCTAGAATCAACCGAACACGGCGATGTCTCAAAAGAAAAGTAGCATCTCGACAAAAGATGTTCATCTTATTAAGCCCCACCCATTGTTCAATGAGAGAACTTTTCCACATTCTTCAAAACGCTGCAGACTCTTTCCATGCTTGGGTGAAATCTACAAGTAGTCAAGAACATTAAATCTTCCAGAATTACTCTTCCAAGTTCCTATTTTCGTGAAACCACTAGTCGTGCAGCTTTAAATTCTATAGTAAATTTTGCTCACATCGACTGTTTTGTGAAACGGCGTTAAAAGATATGTATGCCTGTAAGCACAACCACGAATTGCATGAATGGATCTTAAGGTTAGTAAATTGCGATCAATTTGTCGTTCAGTAATTAAAAGATTGGCATCCATGCATCCGTGACTCGGTATTTGGGCATAGGACTCAGACATTCAATTCGCAAGGACCATAAGCAGAGTGCATTAGCTCGGACTTGGCATATCCCTAATGGTGCTAAGTGCAGCGCTAAGCAATGGCCCTGGGAAGAGAACCCGCTGGATATCGAGCAGTCTGCTTAATAAGAAAAAAGGTATTAGCTAAGAAGATTTTGAGTGTGCATGGAAACCGCCAGTAAATGGAAATGCAGTGATACATATGCGTGTGTTACTAGTATGATATCATGGAGCAGATGTCTTGGCATTTTCTATTTCGTTGGGGAAATTTTCTAGATCACGTGGATTGCATCATCGTAAGCAAGCTGCAGAGTCGGAAGTAGTATATTAATCGCGGATGTAAGTAAACTAGTGGTCGGTATGGTAGGGATGCACACTTCATAAGTGGTATATATGCATCGACATCTGCCCCGATCTTTCGCTGACTTTTACAAAAATCTCAAGTCTGAGTTCTCCTTCTTCGACGTCACAGTTTTTTGAAAATAAGTCCACTTCAACGTGTCTCCACGCTGCCCGCTTTCATCAGACATGGAAGGCTACAAACTTTCTGCCCCGGTAGATTGCACGAGAACACTTGACACAGGAAGTTTGAAAGGAAAGACTGCTGTCATTACTGGAGGTGAGAGGGAATATCGTTTATAAGTAGAATGTGCTGACTAAGTGCAGGTGCAAATGGAATCGGAGAAGCATATACAAGGGCACTCTCTGCTGCAGGGTAGGTGGCTATTCGTAAAGTGACATAAAGTTTTTAACATGATCAAAATAGCGTCAACGTATGCATCGGGGACATGGACTCCAAAGGTGGTTCGAAGTTGACATCGGAGCTTGAGAAGTAAGATTGTGTACCCTATCTTTTATTTTGGATCTTATGCTAATTTCACTAAAGCGCCAAATTTGTGAAGTGTGATGTGACCATTTGGGAAGATCAGCGCCGTCTTTTCACTGAAGCTGCATCTTTCACGGGAAAGGTGGATTATGTTATCGCCAACGCAGGCATCTGTGCTCCTGATGAAGTCTTTACTTTCGCAGGTAATCAATGGATTATCTTCGCCGCCAACACTCAGCTAACTAAAATGTGAAGGCAAAGGCCAGGAACCCACAGAACCAAATCTGAAAACAATCGATGTCAACTTGAAAGGGACATTGTACACCACAAAACTGGCTCTTCACTACTTTATAGAACAAAATGGAGAGAAGCCATCGCCTCAGCAAGAGGATAAATGCTTAGTGCTGATCGGATCTGGGGCAGCATTTCTGGACTGTCTTAGAGGACCTGTATATCCGAGCACAAAATGGCCTGCGCGAGGTATTATGCATTCTCTGCGAAGAACAGCATTCTACCATGGCAGCAGAGTTAATGTCATCTCTCCCTGGTACTCAAATCTCCAATGAACTCGGACTTCCTGTTGCTAATCTGATGATAGGTACGTCAAGACATCGATATTATCTGCAGAAGCTTTCGCGCACGTGGAGAAGTGCGGGGTACAATTCGCGGAAGCAGAAGATGCAGCAAATGCTCTTTTGCGAATCCTCTCTGATCGAACAATTAATGGCAAATCACTGTTCGTCTCGGCGAGAAAGTGGGCACCAGCAGGGTATCTAGACTTGGACGTTGATGATTACCCTGGGAATGAGCTGATCCAGGAAATTCAGGTGGATCAGATGAAAGCAGCTCCTGTGGACAAAGGCTTGTTTCTGCCGTAGGGTAGATTGTGAATCTCGAGATTGCCGGCGTACTGTAACTTTAAATTTCTCTGATTTGATGACTGGCCTTGGAGCGGTACAAATGATGTAAATATTCCCCACCCATATTTTGTACTAAAGGGGCTTCTGGTAGGTCTGTATTCAATGCTTGAAGTGCGTTGATGGAGGGAGAATTGCAATTGAACCGTCGCGTTTTGCCTTTTCCCAAATTTGAGGGAGACATAGCCCACAATTAATGCTCTACGCCAAAGTTAAGAATGCACTCTTTCAGAAACCGTGATATCAAAATACAGCTCCTCTTCGCCGCGTTGACCCCTCCAGAAATTTGTTGAGTATAAGAGCTCTCGGCAACCTCTCAACATCCAAGGCCACTTTTCAGCAAACTCTGTGGTCACCTCCCAACTGGATGGATCCCAAGGACTGCCCCAAACGATAAGACCACTCCTCTCAGACGGAGCATGACACACTTCAACCAGATCATGGCAAAGATCGTCGTCATCAAAATCTTCACCTTTGCTTAACATGTTATCACGTAATTCCGGAAAAGGAAACAGATCCAAATAAGGATGATGGGAGACTTGACGTTGAAGTGCGGTTGGGCAAAGACTGGTTGGGTGACTCGTGTCCCAAACGAGTGGGGTGTTTTGGTAAAATGGTGAAATTGCATCTGCCGTCAACCAGTCAAGATTGAACCCCAGAGAAATCATGTTGCTAAACAAAGCACGAAAGACGTTGAACTGAACCAGAGTAAGGAGGAGGTCAGCGCGGGGAGAGCTGGTCATGCGCTGACGAGAAATGAAATGCTCAACTTGTCTAATAATACATTGAACCTGTGGGGGCGTCAGGTCTGATGAAAGTAAATTTTGTTTGTAATTGTATTCAGTAAATGGCCCCGGGGAAGTGGCGTCTGCAGGATCCTCGGGTTGCTTCCGTTGTTTGATGGCTTCGAGGAGAGCACTCAAGTGTGGGTCAATTTCCGGTTCCAATGGTTCCTTCTCTTCCATAACCAGGCTTGCAGGGGCTGATTGCATGCTCAATAATTTTTGTCGTCTCCCTAAGAAACATAAGAATATAAACATGATTTAGAGCCACTCATTCGATGTTATTCGGCCGAGGTCAGGATGTTAATGCACAAGGAAATCTGTTTGGCTATCGAGCTTACTATAAAGTCTTTGATGCAGCCGATTCTGACGTTTCCTTCGCTCAGCAGCATTTGTACTGCCTGTCCAGTCATCTTCCGCGAAACGGACTTCTGCTTGCTGTGGCATCCGTCCCAACAGCACGCTTCCGACCAGTTCTCCACCTTCTTCTGGACGACTCGCATTGTTTTCCATGTTGAGCAGGCAAAATACTTGATAGTCAGCGAGATTGAGATTGTTGAAATTAAGCAATATAGATTTTGTTGAGGAGTTTTATTGAACTTAATGGAAAACTTGCATGAGCGAACAACTCGTTTTTAATTTTGGTAACTGCAATCGATGGTTTTGTGATTGGGATCATGAATCACTACTGCTCCCATTCCCCGCTCTTTAGCTCCTTGACAGCCGAAAGTTAAAAAGGTGCTAGTCGCTGCGACACGTGCCCGGTAATATCACGGTTGATTACTAATCAGTTCAACTTCAATCGGAATGATAGTTTTAAGAGCTACCTACTCGAGCCACTGTCATCATTATTATCATCATTACTGCCGTCATTCTAATAATTTGCTTATAATAACTCAATCCTGGTGTTTTATCTCCCAATTCTTGATTGGTTATTTGATTGAATAACAGCCTTTACAGAGGCTCGTGTTGTTGAAGTCAAGGTAAGGTTTTGTTTGCCTATCTATCATGCCGAGCGTGCCAAGTATAATTTAGCAGCACTAATGCAGACTGCTTACGCCCCACCGGAGAGTCTACCGACAGAGGTTCTATATATGGTAAGCGAGCCGGCAAGTGAGCTTCCAGATGTACGACGCAATCATCAAGTACCTCCAGCAGTACCGAAATCTCGATTTGTCATATTGCATGCCGTGGGTAGCACAGCCTTAGACTCGGCGTGACTGTTAATATCCCCTCTCAGGGGATGTGTGATCGGGGCTTCTACGGAATAAATTAGTTAGGGGGGGATAATACTAGTTTTTTACCCTCGGGTACGCTGAGATTTGGGATAATATCATCTGCTATTGAACGAACCCGGTTTCAGTACGGTAAAACAGCTGAGATCTATTGCCTCTCCGCCCGATCGGTGTGAACAATGTTTGAATTATGCACAGTATGAGGTCGTCGCTAGTCCAGGTGAGTTCGTCCTGATCTTCAGATGAGCATACACATGTTTCAGAAGCTTTAGCTACAGCAGCTACTAGGAAAATGTTTATACTATTCCCTAAGTAGCTCATGGATCGATCGAGATCATTAGTTTTGGGGTGAACTGACAGGTGTACTAGATATGATTATTCTCGAAGCTCGTCATAATTTAAACGTTTCTTGGCAAGCAAGCAATACCAGCGGATCTAGGGACTATTAACCCACAAATAAAGGCTTGCAACCAATTGCAGTTGTTTCTTAGATGGCTGAAGGTCAATAGGAACACGCGTCCTGCAGCACCTTGAAGAGGCAGTGTATCTTTAATTCCTTGAAGAAAACTTATAGCATTGCATGAAATTACTCATGACGTAGCATACGTCAAGCAAGTTATGGCAATGAAAGGATTTGTTACTGGGCTCATCAACTATAAGAACAGCGACATGTCGCTTCGTCACAGTCTATCTTGTCACTCACATCCACAGGAAGCTTCATTTTCAGACATAATTCGAAGAAAACAGTGTCATCATGAAGACAGGCGTCAGTATTGCCTCACTCAGCGTCACTGTTGCGAATATTTCGCTCACAATGGCACAGAACATGTCTTACGGGGCCGACAACTGGTACCGCAGCGATCAGGTGACTGTTCAGCCGATCAACTTCCTGACCCAATTTCGAACTTCCGTCGCGGGGAACATCTTCATTCGCAACGATCTTGCTCGCAACAACCAGACCGCCAGTACGCCTGCAATTGTCGTCGGTCACCCAATGGGTGCGGTAAAGGAACAGAGTTCCAACCTCTATGCCACGAAGATGGCTGAGCAGGGCTTTGTGACCATCTCTCTCGATCTCCCATTCTGGGGCTCTAGCGAGGGCGAGCCAATGAACACCGTGTCGCCAGACTTCTACGCCGAGGCTTTCAGCGCGGCAGTGGACTATCTAGGCACACAGGCATTTGTTGATCGCGAGCGGATCGGCGCGATTGGTGTTTGTGGCAGCGGTTCATTTGTTATCAGCGCCGCCAAAATCGATTCCCGCATCAAGGCCATCGCCACATCGAGTATGTACGACATGGGATCAGTATCCCGCAACGGACTTCGTCATGCCCAGACTGTTGAGCAGCGCAAAGAAATGATTTCACGTGCATCAGAGCAGCGTTGGGCCGAGGTTGACGGGGCAGAGGTCGCAGTCACTGGCGGCACACCTAACGTGCTCACCAATGAGTCAACCCCCATTGACCGCGAGTTTTATGACTACTATCGCACCTCGCGTGGTGAGTTCACGCCACCCACAACAACGCCAAACCTCACCACCCATCCTACCGTCGCAAGTCAAACTAAGTTCTTGAATTTCTATCCCTTCAACGATATCGAAACCATCTCCCCACGCGCGATGCTCTTCATCTCGGGTGACCAGGCACACTCTCGCGAGTTCAGCGAGGATGCCTATGCGCGTGCTGGCTTGCCAAAGGAGTTAGTCTGGATTCCAGGCGCAGGACACGTCGATCTTTACGACCGCGTCGAGCTAATTCCCTTCCCCAAGCTCACCGAATTTTTCCAGCAAAATCTTGCCGCGAACTAAGCGGTCAGGGAGTGATTCTTTTGTTCTCTTCTCCCATGAGATAAAAAAACGCATCAGGATAGATTATACGGGGAGTTCGAGTATCGTCATGGAAGCAGAAGTGAGTCAATCGGAGGTGTATTGCTGGGATGCGTATTGGGGCTGGGTTGTGGTATAGTGGAGATTTCTAGATTTAAAATATTCATTTCTTTTTTGACGGCAAAAATGAGCCCTTACATAATCTTAGTTGCTTTAAAATAGACAGATATAGTCTCAAGAATTGCGCTTTTGTGACATGCCGTGATAATCTTCTCTATCCACAGGTTTCTCCTCTTCTCTTGTCACGGAGTTTTGATCATGACCCCATACGATGTCATTAATATCTGCGCTTTCGGCAACAACAGAGCCTCAGCATTTTAAATGAATTCTTGGCATGATAGGTGCGGATAAAGCTCAAATAGGACTAAAAGAATCCCGTAGGACCAAAACTTCAGAACTTGTGGAAATTTCTTCTTAGGCCATTTCAAGGTCAACTCACGCTCACACAGATTTAACCAGAACTTACAATAAAATCTCGATTTTCCCACCAACTTACGTTCAGTCATTCACTCGATCAATACAAACACATTTCCAATAATCGAATTCTCTTATATTAATCAGATATCATAATCAGTATTCTGGTGATACTAGAATTCGTTGGTGACTAAAAATGTGAAAAATATTATTTTTCGGGTAATTGAGCATCATCGTATTCAAGCCCAGGGAAGTTCAAAAAACAACACGAAGCGAGTTTGAATAGAGGTAAGCAAACTAGAATACGTTAGTTCATCTTACTCTGCTACATTTCCCACCACAGGCGCTGTTGTAGACGCTCATAAGTCAAGCAAATCCAATGCATAAATCATGTATCGAAAACATTCACTCCATTCAAACAAGAATTTTTTGTGTAGATAGGTATATATGAACTACCCATCGCGTTCATGGCTGCTTGTGTGTCTATCGAAGTAAAATGGAGACAAGATTCCTATTTGCGAGAGCGAGTGTCTTTGGACAAAGGGAAGATTAAGCAGTGGATAGTACGGGGTCTGTAAGAGTTCTTGGTCATTTAATTTTAGGGCAAAAAAATTGAGTCGACAAGTTTAAAGTTGGGTATGTCGTTGCCGTTGCTGTTGCTGTTTGTGGGATGAAAAATGGAGGATAAGATGGTGGTTTGGTGGATCGCTGAATGGATTTTGATAAATCATCTTTTGATCAATTGTGGACTGGGTAATGAGTTACCCAATGGCTCTTTTAGAACCAGTGGGTTTTATTGCGTTCCGAAAAAGAAAGTTTGAAAACCACTCATTGTGAGCACTGGCTGTAGAAGCGAGGAGCTTGTAATACTTTGCCGTAGAAGGACTGAGTTAACGGAGTACAGATCATTCTCATAACCTTTAATTGAAGGGTGAGCTCAGCTGTTATAGAGTGCATGTAGAAACTAACAGACATGCATGCGCATACGAGAGTTCGCACCGTGATTGATGTGTCTGATCCGTGACAGGGCCAAAATTATCACGTGATTCATTAAGCGACAAATAACACAATCATAGATAGTTCAACTCTCTATTATTTACAAGAATATGGCGTGGTCAATGCATACAGGACTTGAGACTCAAAGAGGGCTGACTCAGGGGTGACAGAACGCACTGTGTGCTCCTTCTCTTCCATCCAGTGCTCGCAACCGGTGGGTTTCGTACCTTCCTTCACTATACTCAGCTTAAACCATTAGTCCAAAACAAGCGGTTGGTTCATTTGTAATCCAAACTATTGATTAATTACAATCACATTCTAGATCTTATTGATAGAGGTCAAATAAATTACAATGAGAAAGCTAAGAACAAATCAGAGCCTTATAGATGTCTCCATCTCTTTCACAATAAAAGGTCGCTTACCTAGTTCAAGCTAGTCTTAGACCAAGGTTAGCATGATGAGTAATCACATATGTATTTGATGTATGTTACAACTAATGATATGGTGACCCATTCCACTAACGAAGCTTTCAGCCAAAAATCGACCCAAACAATCAGTCATGGGTCACCATTCTCTACCGCTCGACTCAAACCAACTCAAGATTCACCCAATCTAACCTCATCACTCTACCCACCCATTACGAGCACTACTCACATCCTCACTTTCGATCATTTGAATCTCGATTACACGATTCAGATTTACATGATTGATAATCATATAATTAGATATATAGCCAATCAGAATCATTGTAATGCATAATCAGCTTGCTGAAGCTTGAGTCGTTTCATGTGATTTTAGAGTTTGCTGTAGATGTATGAAGGCTCGCATTATAATGACTACTGTTTTCAGACTATTGAATCAAGAAAGGTATGTCTCTTGATGACTAATGCTAAGCCAGCGTACATGGAGACAGTGAATCCATTCAACCGATCTCAATCAAGTTATTGGAAATATAGAATGGTTATATATCATGCTGTGAAACTATTCCTAGTCTAATCATCGCTTTTCGACAAGCATAGCAACTTTTACAGCAGACTCCATAAAGATATATACAGGATACGTTTGAATGAACATGATAATCATATGTCAATAATCAATCTTAACGAAAATGTAATAAAATAAATGTATCAAAATCTCAAATTTGTGTGTCAGGGTTGCATTTGACCAGAGGCTAAGGAGGAGGGTGTGATTACAGTCTCTCTTTGTAGATTAGCTCTTCTTTCTTCATAGTTTACAAAAATCAATGAACTTGTTCGATCCCTACGATTTTTCGATACCTCACCTTGTGACAGAGTAAAACTATCACACATTGTATTGTCACTCGTCGAATAGGTTTCTCGAAAAGCCTGTGTTTACAGCATAGTCCTTGCTTCTTCCCAACAAAAGTGATTTCAATTCCGACCCCGTTTTTTCTTGGCGAAGGTGATTCTGATTCACGAGGATACGAAGTCAAAAAGAGGGAAGAGTATCAAGGGGTCATGTGACCAAAAACTAAGAAGGAGAATATATAGTTTCTCTTCGCAGATTAGCTCTTCTAATCTTATAGTTTACAGCAATCAATGAAACTGTTTGAACCATATGGTTCTTTAATACCTCACTCCATGACATTGTACATGCGTATGTACTCCAAACCCAACTCATTTCAACCTAAACTTGATTCAAGTTTTTTCTATTCTTCCTGATACATATCTTCAAGCTTTTCATATCATATATTGATTATCAACGATGGACACATGGATAGTTTAGTACAAACACTTTTACGGACTTTCATAGGAATCTGCAGTTCAAGTCTCTAAAGAGACGAAGAAACCTCAGAGTACCCGGAAAAGTTTTTACTACTACTAATACCAGGGATGAGCACCCGGTCAGACTTACCCGAATAGATCCGAGTATGCTTTTTGGGTATTTTTATGGATATCTATTTTGCTACATATTATAGGGTGGGGTGAAACCTCTATGAACTGCTTTTGAATGTGAGTATACCTCCGAGTATAATTGTATGATATTCATGTGATCTTTTGAGCTTGACTCAATCAATTATTGGATTACAGAATCATATGATTTGCTTGTATGACATTTTCTGGATTGTTGATATGATTGAGAATGATTTAATCCTAGACATTAATGAGACGAATATATGGTAAATCAAATGATATATGTTCTAAATAGTCTAGACAATCAGTTTTTCTTCTTCTTTCGTATTCTCCGGGTTCTCGTCCAGCTAGCTATATGCCTTTCTTTAGGGTAGAATGAATAGAACTTCGTACTAATTTTATTGCTTTAAGATGAGCATAGATGACGTATTACCTATGAACCTGGGTCCTAATTGTCAATATTATTGTCAATATTGTACTCTGTGCCAAGAGCTAGATGTGCACGGAAAGAACCAATCTTTATATTTGAGTCTAGCCCTCTCCCTAAGTATACTACAGTAGTCTACTGACTTAAGGTGTCAAGGTGTGCGGGGAACTAGGGCAAGTAATGAAATATAGAATTCTGTGAGGACTAAAAGAAATCCTTCGGATTCCTGAACTGATATAGCTACACTCAATTTCATAACTAGCTTTCAAAGAAAAAAGCACTTTTTCAATATCATTTAATTGAACTTTTGAAATTGAAAATTCAATTCGATCAATACAATTCCAAATTGAAAAAACTTTGTATTATAATATAGATCTTAATTGATGAAATTTATAAATAAAATTTGAATAAAATTGATCAAAAATTTATTGAATTAAAAATAATTGAATGAAATAATGATTTTTGTATAGTTTTTAGACTTTTGAACTTTCGAAAATTGAATTTTCATTCAACTACTTTCAATTCAATAAATTTTGAATCGAAATTATTTATATTTTATTTATCAATTCTATTAATTAAGATCTATATTATAATATAAAGTTTTTTTTAATTTAGAATTGTATTAATCGAATTGAAAACAATTAAATTATTTTCATATAGGATTTAGTATAAAATTAATTAGATTAAAAAAAGTTATATTTTGAAAGCTAGTTATAAAATTAAACATAGTAGTTAGCTAGTATTATATAATCTAAAGAGCGTTGCTCCTTTACATAAGGTTATTTATCTACTTTAATTTAAATATAGTTATTTCAGATATATCTTAAAAAATATAATTCTTATAATTAATAAAGGAAGCTAGCTTAATGAGTATTAGTAAGAGCTTTATTTAGCGTTAGAATTCTTATTATTATCGTTATCTAACTAGAATATATAATTCTATTAATATTTAAATAAGTAGTAAAATAAAAAAAATATATCTAAAAAAATAAAAAAAATAAAATGAAAAAATGAAAAAATGAAAAAATGAAAAAATGAAAAAATCAAAAAATCAAAAAATCAAAAAATCAAAAAATCAAAAAATCAAAAAATCAAAAAATCAAATTAAAAACATTAGATAATATATCAGACTGATTCTAAAATGAGATAATAAGATATTAAATAAAAGAAATCGTTTTAAGTAAAATTATTCATATGATATACTATACTAT